ATACACACACACACACACCATACACACACACACTCTACACACACACACACACACACTATACACACACAGACACAATACACACTATATACACACACACACACTATACACACACACTATATACACACAGACACACACTATATACACACAGACACACACTATATACACACAGACACACACTATATACACACAGACACACACTATATACACACAGACACACACTATATACACACAGACACACACTATATACACACAGACACACACTATATACACACAGACACACACTATATACACACAGACACACACTATATACACACAGACACACACTATATACACACAGACACACACTATATACACACAGACACACACTATATACACACAGACACACACTATATACACACAGACACACACTATATACACACAGACACACACTATATACACACAGACACACACTATATACACACAGACACACACTATATACACACAGACACACACTATATACACACAGACACACACTATATACACACAGACACACACTATATACACACAGACACACACTATATACACACAGACACACACTATATACACACAGACACACACTATATACACACAGACACACACTATATACACACAGACACACACTATATACACACAGACACACACTATATACACACAGACACACACTATATACACACAGACACACACTATATACACACAGACACACACTATATACACACAGACACACACTATATACACACAGACACACACTATATACACACAGACACACACTATATACACACAGACACACACTATATACACACAGACACACACTATATACACACAGACACACACTATATACACACAGACACACACTATATACACACAGACACACACTATATACACACAGACACACACTATATACACACAGACACACACTATATACACACAGACACACACTATATACACACAGACACACACTATATACACACACACACACACACACTATACACACACGCACACACTATATACACACAGACACACACACTATATATACACACACACACACCTGTTGACCAGGTCCTGCAGCTTCTGCATGGGCTCAGGTTCTCCGTCTCTGCCGCACGTCATGATCTCGCGGCCGTCGTAGACGCGGATGATGCGGTCCGCTGTGTTGATGAGGAAACAGCTGCGGGACGAGAGGACGATCACATGACGCACATATACTCACAATACTGCCAACACTCATCCTGATATCAATCCGTACTGAAAACATAATTATTTATCTATTCAAAACAATGAACCTTTTAATGAGATTTATGTAATATAATAATTTTATAATTAAAACAATTTTAAAAATAAAATATGTAATGTGGTATCATCATTTATTACAATTTCTTAAACACATTTATACTAATATTATAATTAAATAGTTTTGCGTCATTGTTTATTACTTATATTATGTACTTACACAAATAACATTTATATTATATTGTTTATTTATTATAATTAAATAAATAGTTTTGCATTGTTTATTACTATTTCTTATATTATCTGAAGTATTTTAATGAGACTTTTACAAATAATAATAATAACAAACATTAAAAATATTATTATAATTACATAAAATAATAATTAAAATTAATTTTATAAAGTGGAGAGTTCCGGTGCTTGACTCTGATTGGCTGAGCCGCGTTCGAAGCTGTTGTAAATGACGCTACAAAGTAACACACACCTTTGTTTACGTTTGTGTGTTGCTCGGCAACCACTTTGTAGCAACCACAACTGTTTCTGAGGAGCTACATTGTTTGGTGGAAGAATACTGTGTTTAAACCACGGCTTCTTTAGTTTGCCATCATTTATACACATTAATGTTAATATTAAAATTGCATAAAACAATAATAAAATAGTTCGGCATCATCATTTATTATTATTTATTTTATTATGAAATGCACATTAATAAAACTTAGAAAAACAACAATACCATTAATAATTAATAATATTATAATAACAGTATAATTAATGTAATAATAAAAACGTAATAAATAAATAGCTTCGCATCGTTTATTATTATTTTTTATATTGTGTATTTTAATGAGACATAAACATAATACAACTAAAACATTTATAATGATCTTATAATTAAATAAAAAATAAATAGCATTGTTTTATCATCATTTCTTTATATCTTCTGCATTTTAATGAGACTTGTAAAAATAACAATAACAGTAAAAATTATAATAATATTATTATCAGATAAAATAACAGTACAAATAAGTAATTATTAAATAATTAATTAATTATATAAATAATAATAATTAGTTTACTATTATTATTTTTAACTTTAAGTATATTAACAAGGCAAATAAAAAATACAAATAACAACAATATAAAATAACAACTTTTAAAATAATAAAACAACAACTACAATAATATAATTAAACAAAATAAACAACTAGTTTGCCATCATTTACTATTTCTTGTATTATTTTTTTATGAGACTTATATAATAATAAGATAAAAAAAATAACACCAACATAAAAATGACAATAATATTATAATTAAATGAAATAAATTAATAGTTTGACATCAGTTTATTATTTTATATTATGTTATTGTGGTAAATAAATAAATAAATAGTTTGGCATGGTTTATTAATATTATATTATTTTAAATGTTTTATTGTTAGTTAATCTATAGTTAGTATATTAATATTATTTTATTGCGTCAGTGTGAATGCTGGTGTGACCTCTGACCTGCCCTTGCGTGCGAACTCGATGGATTTGATGGCGGTGGTGTTGCTGGTTCCTGTGGTCACTCTGAACGACGCCACGAGGTCCTGCTTGTTTGTGTTCAGCACCAGAATCTGGACAGACCGACACGTTAGATGGACATCTCAGTCTCAGTCTCACGCTCACGCTCAGGCTCACACACACACACACTCACACACTCACACACTCACACACTCACTCACTCACTCACACACACACTCACTCACACGCACTCACACACACACACACTCACTCACACGCACTCACACACACACACACTCACTCACACGCACTCACACACACACACACTCACTCACACGCACTCACACACACACACACTCACTCACACGCACTCACACACACACACACTCACTCACACGCACTCACACACACACACACTCACTCACACGCACTCACACACACACACACTCACTCACACGCACTCACACACACACACACTCACTCACACGCACTCACACACACACACACTCACTCACACGCACTCACACACACACACACTCACTCACACGCACTCACACACACACACACTCACACACACACACACACACACACTCACACACACACTCACACACACACTCACACACTCACACACTCACACACTCACTCACTCACTCACACACACACTCACTCACACGCACTCACACACACACACACTCACACGCTCACTCACACGCACACTCACACACGCACACTCACACACTCACACACACACTCACACACTCACTCACTCACACACACACACACTCACACACACACA